AAATAATTTAAAATTATATTATTTAATATAAATAATATACAACTAAGAAGCTAAATTATTAACTAAATTATAATACAAGATTTATTAAAAAACTAAATTAAATTAAATTAATAATTCTTATAATAAGTATATTTATTATTAAAAAAATTATCAAAAATAAATTATTAATATCAAGAAAATTATTAATATTTATAAGATTTAAAAAATATTATATAAAAATATTTTATAAAGTAAAATAATTAAAATTAGAAATAAAGTATTAATATATAATATAAAATAATATATAATATATAATAATTAGAAATATTAATCAGTTTTTAAGAATTAAGTTCTAAATAATTCTTTGAAAAATAATCTTAATCTAATTCTAGTATAAAAAACTATTAGTCTTATAATTTTTTTGATTATATAATTAAATATAAGATCAAGTCTTATTTAAAAATGATTTAAATGATCTTATAAAATTATTCTATTTATAATAGTACAAGATATAATACTTATAATAGTACAAGATATAATACTTATATAAGAAATAGAATATAAAAAAATTGATAAGATATAAATATCTTATTATTTAAAAATTATATAAAGTCAAAGATAAGTATATTTTATTTATTAAAATATTACTTATCAATTAATATAAATTTTATTTTCATTTATTATTTCTATTTTATATAATAATTTTTTTATATTTTTTTTAGTATTTTATATAATAAAATTGAATTAAAAAAAATAATTTGCTAATTAAGATAAGTTAATAGTTTCTAATTTTTTTAATATTATAAATCTAATTAATTTAGTTTATTATTTTATAAAACTATTTTTTATTATTATAATATTATTTATTCTTTTTAATATTAAGTTAATAAACTTTATATAAAAATTATATTAATACTTTTTTATATGATTTATATCTTTTTTCTTTTAATGAAAGTAAACTAAAACAATATTTTAAATATTGATTAACTTTATTTTATAAGTATTTAATAGGATTCAAGTTAGAAAATATAATAATCTGTTAAGTAAGTTAATCTTATTATTAATAAATCATTATTTTACTTTTTGAAGATATATTTAGAATTATTATCTTGCTAGAAGATAAAATTTATATTTTTTAGCATTATTTTTCAGACTATATCTAATAAATTGATTCCCAATAATAAGAGTTTCTTATTAAAATCCTTACTTTGCGATTCCAAGATTTTGTCGTTAAACATTTACATTTTTCTCTTACTCCGGGATCCATAATAATTAAATTTTTCTTACTGAAATTCACATTTGTATCGTACATAAATAATTTTACTTATTTTTAATAGTAGGAACCATTCTCAAACTAACCTCACCGGTAAACGTCACAGCATTACGATATAGACATAAAAAGTGTCTTAAGACATATAGTGACGTGACGTGACTAGTTTTTGGATGACAGTTTTGGGAACCGATATTTTATTATAAAATTATACATATATACATACCCTATTGATTCGGTTTTTATACGGAATTCGAGGCATTATTTTGCGCTTATACGGTATTGAAACTTGGCCGTTGCATATATTGAGCTTCTGGGCAAGTGGATGATGGAGTTAGTTCTATGTATGACGATTAGCTTCGTTTGTTTTATTATCGATATATAATCGCATATTCATGATTGTAGTCAATGTATTACTCATTGCAAAAGATATAAGGTCAAAAAGTTTCTTTTCTGAATGGTCAAATATCATAAACGAATTTATATATTTGAAAGTTCTAATATAGAAATTAATTAAAAGATTTACAAACGTTAAATATCTTGCAAAAGGAGCTTTTTAACAAAAGGTGACCATAAAGTCATAAATTCCAACGAAATAGAGAACTGAATTAGCATTGAAATCATTATATACTTTACAAAAAGATTATTCCATAGTTTATAAGTGAGGTAAAAATGAACATTTTCTAAAGTATAGGTTGCTTTGTTTTCTGATACGATCGAATTTTTTAAAAATAGATTACTCTAATATGCAGCATAATACTTTTGTTGGTTTCGTTTTGTACAAGATATTATGAATGAATTATGAAGTAACCTAGCCATGGCGAAAAAATCTCCGGTTCATGTGAATTTTAAAGAGTAAATAATTAAATTGCAAGCTCACAAATGTTAATTTTTGAAAATGTATCTCGAACAAAAAATTTGCTTGCCAAATTTATTATACCATGGCATGTGCTCTTGACTTCATGCCTCCAATTTCATGAAAATTCTTGCAAGATTCATACTTTATATGCTATGATCCACGAATTTATCCTTGGATTTACCTAAGGTGTACATACCAATATATTAAAAGTATAATACACAATATCCGTAGCTCATAGTTACGTAGTCTGTATAAGTAAGATGGATGGCGTTTATGTAACTAAAAACAAGAAAATCACGAATAAAGCAACTATCGATGAAAAAATAGAATATTTTAGTTTAAAGTGATTTAATAATTATACGCTAAACAAAAATTTGTATGCTTAAGATAATATCATTTTTGTAATTAAATGAATTACTATCTATAAAGTCCAAAAATAAATTCTAAACCTTGAAATATTCACAATCAACAATTCGAAATTGGAATAAATTTACAAATTTTCAATAAAGGTCGTTTTTGGGATTGATTCTATTGCATGTCTATGCACTCTTGCACAAAATCATGTTATTAAGAGTATATGTTAATGGTAGGATCGAACAACGATTTTAAATATTTTTCGACTTATACATATAATATCAAATTATCGGAGTGAACACGAATGAGATCTTATCATTCAAATATATATTATCGTTCTTTAATTTTAGTAATCTTACTTACACAAATATTGAATGTTTAGTAGGAGTAATGCATAAGATTTCTGTATACATATAATATGAATTTGTTATTGGAAAGCTTTTTAACATTGAATCGCCATAATTAAAGAAAGCCAATTTATTGATAGTTCAATAAAGGAAATGAAACAAAGAGCTTTATCTTTAAATTTTTATCGTGGAGAAAATTCTAGAATTTAATCAAAAATATCGTATCAATATCGATCGTAATACATGTATTACGTAATTAAGTGGTTGATCCGGATAGGACCAAAGATGGAAAAGTTGATACGACGACTAGATATTTATAAGAATATGAAGTTTAAGCATTCCGACGACCTAACATCCCAACAATTCAGCTCATTGAAATTTAAATCCCGACATACACGACTTCTCGAAATAGCTTTATAATGAAGATCGTTATTTTTATTGTAACCTCGATTGTTGTGAAAAATATCACCATAAAAACCAGAATTTGGACTTGAATTTGGAATGTTAAATTTCGGGAAATTGGATAGATCCGCAACAGATACACTACCTGGACAAAAAGTATCGCACACCCAAAATTTATTAATTACACAAAATCTTACATAATAATCATGCCTCTAATTTTAATCTGTTATAGTCTTACTTTTGACCAAACGCGTATGTAATTTTCGCATTTTTTGTAAACAAACATAAAAATATATAAATAAAAACACTCAATGCCTTCCAGCATCCCTGATTCTAAAATGTATCACTTAACTGAAAGCCAACGTGGTGAAATTATTGGTCTTTACAAGAATAACCAAACAATATCCAAAATCAGTAAAACTCTCAAAGTTCACAGAACAACTGTCTCTCATACTATCAAAAAGTACATTAACAAAGACAATCTTGCTACTTGTCCCCAAACTGGGCATCCAAAATTATTGACATGTGAAAGTCAAAAAATACTAAAAAATATTGTTAAGAATAACAATGAAAATTCTGCCGAGCAAATCAAAAAGAAATTTATTGAAAAAACCAATATAGAAGTTTTCACCAAAACAATCAGAAGAAATTTGCATGAAATGAAATTTTTTTCTTATATGCCAGCTTGAAAATCTCTCCTTAGTGATCAGCAAAGAGAATAGCATCTAAGATGGTGCATTCAAAAAAGAAACTAGACTGTTTAAAAATGGAAGTCTGTCATATGGAGTGATGAGAGTAGATTTACAATATTTGATAATGATGGACCAGGCCATGTTTGGAGAACTCCAGGCACTAGGTTTAATATTGTAAACATGATTCCAACTGTAAAATTTGGTGATGGAGAACTAATGATATGGGAATATTTTTCACGTAAAGGATTGATTCCATTGGTAAAGGTGGAGAACAAAATGAGTAGATTAGATTATATACAGATATTGGAAAAATATTTACTGCCTTTAATAGATAAGAAATTTAATGGTAAGGGATATCTGTTTCAGGATGATAATATCCCAGTTCATACTGCTAAGGATGTCAAGCAGTGGATGCTTACAAACAAAATCAATATTTTACCAGATTAATCAAGTCAGTCTTCTGACTTAAATTCAATTAAGCATTTATGGTCAGAGTTAGAAAGAAGAATAAGAAACTGACTATAAGTAATAAAAAACATTACAGAATTAGAAACTGCCTTATAGGAAGAATGGAGCAAGATTTTGATGAATCAAATAATTAGCTTGATAAAAAGTATGCCATGGAGAATAGAAGCAGTTATTACAAGCAATCTCTGGCCTACTAAATATTGATTTATATAGTTAATTCATTGGTTGAAGTATAAAATATTAAAATTTGAGATATAATTATTATGTACAATTTTGTACAATTAATAAATTTTGGATATGTGATACTTTTATCCAGATAGTGTATGTATGCTTTAATATCCATTATTACTTATCATTAATTTTAATCTTTTTAATTCAGTATTACACTATTAAGTATAATATAATCAAGTTAAATTAGTATTGTAACTGATTTTATACTAGTATATTCAATTTAAGCTAGTTAGTAACCCGCAGAAGCTCACAAGTCAAAAACTAGATTATACTCATAAGTATAGTCATATATTAAATTTTGATATGTATACTAGATAAACTAATCAATAACATATTTCCATTACTCTTTCTTTTCTTACAAGTAATATTATATTATGCAAACTATATTTTGATTTAGTCTATTCTTTATGATCTTGCAACTTTTTTTCTTTGAACAGAATATTAAATACAAGAGCTCTAATTTCAATTTCTTGCTTCTTCAAATTCAACTCTAATGCTATTTGATATTCAGAAAGCTCAATATCATCTTTATCAGTTATATAACTTTTTTTTAGACTTGTCTTTTGTGCAAAGAATTTTCTTTTTGGCTTGATGTATATAGATAGGTTCATTTTAATTATATTATTTTTTTGTCACTGTAAAAATTAAATATTATTAGTATTTGCTAATAACATCAAATACAAAAACAAATTTTTATAGCATTTTATTGCAAGTACTATTCTGATAATTACATCTTTGTCATGTTCACTATTGTTAATTCCAAATTTGGTATGTACATTAATAGAAGTATATTGATATTCATCAAAGTGACAAGCTCTAATAAATGCAAGGATTTTAGTTATCAAATATAATAATATCATAATCAAACAAAATCAATTGTTTACCTCAAAATAATTGTTAATAAACTCAAATTTTTTCTATCTGATTAATGTTTGCATGAGCTAATTTAATAATATTTAGATTTCTATCCACTAAATATCAAAAAGATTCTGAAATATTTGAAATATAATGATTCAACAAAGTGAGAATATACTTTTATCTGTAATAGATAAACCAATCTGCAAATATATATTAGAATCCTTTTAATTAATTCAAAGATTAAACAAAAAAAGTATATCTTTAGCTCCTTCTTCATTAAAAGTTTTGATTCTATCTAATAATTCAAAAGCTTCTGCATTAGATTATATATCAGAAATAGAATATATTATTTATTTCAAAGTATTAGAAAAGACTTTATTGTAAATATTTCTGTAAAAAAAATTATATTAGATAGTTATTAAATTACTTAGAATATTTATAAAAGACTAAAAACTTACCAATTATAATAAATGATACATGACTTGAAAATAAAAGTCAAGTGATCTTTCCAGTTGTGTAATGGATTAATATCATATAAAACTAGTTCTAATCCTTTTGCTTGAGTGGTATCAAGATCATCCATAATTACTATCCAACTATTATTATAAATATGATAAAATTGAGATATTTTTCCAGTAATTTGGCCATTACATCAAAAAAATCTGATGATATGTCTCAGCTGATTAGTAATTAGTAAAAATTTGAGCATAGGTTAAGTTAAAGCTATTAAATATACAATAAAGAAATTAGTATAAATCATTAAATTATAACTATAATATATGATAATATTACTTATTTATATTATGTGTTTAATTATAATTATTTATCTCTACTTTATTATATTATCTTGGACATATTTGAAAGACAAATAAATTTGTAATGTCATAAAAGTTTTTACTTGTTTTGCTTGATCTGATATCATACAAATAATCATAATATGACTATTATCAAATATACTTAAATAATAGACATAGTCATGCATACTGTGATTATTTCAGACAAAACTCACAGTAAGTTCAAGAAGATCTTGACCAAATAGATGAGTATTTCTTTGAATATGATTGACCAAATATCATAATTTATCCAAATTATTTAATAATGCATGAACTTCTGAAAAAAATTCACAGCCAAAATGAGCTTTTATAAGATTGCCTATTATAAATAAATAAAAATTAATACTTTATATAATAATGAATAATATTAAAATATATATGTCTGAAATTAATTTCTAAGTGTTATATCTTCCATTATCTGAATTTGTTAGTCAATAATATTGTGTAAAACATCTTTCAAATTCATAGGAGTATTATGAGGAGGAGGTGGAGGATGGGTATGTACTCCTTTGCTAATAAAAATCATATATGGACAAGCTTTCAAATATACTGGAGTAATTTTGGTAAATGAACTTTGCATTGCTTTCGTTGGATCTTTTTCCAAATAACTTGATTATTACTAATATGTGGATATGCTAAAAAAATAGAAAATATAATTAAAAAATTATATTCAAACAAACTATATTTGATATATCGTGATCCATAAGCAAAACTGTATAATCATACATAGATGATATAATCTAATATATTTGTCATATTAATAAATATAATTAAAAAAATAGATAGATTTTTAAGCTACTTACCTCAAAATTACCATCAAGTAAGTTTTGCAAAAGCTCAATGTTAATATTATCTTCTACTTTTAAAAAATAATAATTTTTTCTCCAATAGACAGTATTAATATCCAATAAAAATGATGGTAGAAGTGGGACATCTTGGTTATTATTAACAGATTGAGCTTTGGTTCTCAATCGTTGAATGGTAGGAAGTCCATTACAATATTGACCATCAAATTTTTTGTATGGATAATGATTTTCAATGGCAAAGATAAATTCTGATTAAATAAATTAAAATATTAAAAATAATATATATAATTTAGAATAGTGCAAATTCACGTAGGTTTTATTAGTAATCGAAGTATTTATACTGAAGAAAAAGATCTGATTCCATATCAATCTTGGTGTGAACCAAATTATTAATAGAAGGGTTGGAAAACTCATAGAGTTTAACATCTTGACATGTATGCTCATCCTTAGTAACAAATATATTACCAGGATAAGGACATAAAACTTTTGTTTGACCTCACAGATTTCATATTGCATATTGAATCTTTAAACAAAAATATTAATAAACTATAAGTTGCTACTTGAAAAACTTGAAAAACTTGCATCATCAAAAGCTGCATTCGTTTTAGCCCAATCTTTAACATTGAATAGAATAGCAACTCCTTGATGTGAAGTAGGAGGATATTCTATTGGAAGAACTGAATTAATTACTTCAGAAATAACTAAATTTTTATAAAAAAAGCTTCGCCAAGATTATAGTCATCCTGATTTTCTTTGTTATCTCGCTGTTTAAAATATAATATATGTCATTATACAATGCATGTTATATCATAATTTTTGTTTTTTACCTAATTGATGTTTGTTTAAGTGTATTATATTCTCATATCTGCCCTTTTTATATTTTTGCCCACTGATTCTTGATAGTTTTTTGTAACTTTATTATATTAAGATGCTTATCATTTTCGTGACTTTATTATATTGAGATGCCCTGTCATTTTCGTGATATTATACGGTGTTACACTATTAAGTATAGTGTTACAGTATCGCTATTGAGTATGATATATTTATTCCTAGCCATACTTTTGTATGTTTATCCATTTTTGTATGACAAGACAATAAATAATTATCTGACGTTACAATATATTCTTTCGGAATCATTTATTATTATAAATCTTCATAGCAATGATCATTACATTTTTTAAAAGGATGCATATGAAACGATAATCAGAAGATTCTATACTGAATATTACTGAAATAATTTAGAAGGTTAATATTCGAACAATATGGATAGCTATCTGTGTTTCCCTAATAGCCAGTTTTGCTCATCCCAGAAAAACATAGACATAAATTTATACCTGTTTCATCTAGAAAGCAAGAGAAAGGAATAAAGAAATTGTTTTTGAACTTTGAGGTGATAATTGATTTACTTTTGATACAGAGAGCAAATCTAACTATATGTAATGATCTAATGTATTTTTGTACATGTACAGCACAATTGTTTGTTTTAAAAGCTTCTGAAAGATCAATAAAATTTTGTTCACTATGATGAAACATGCACGCTTGTCAGATTTTAATCTAAAATTGATATTTTGTGCTTTTTTTGGATTCTACAAATCTAGCATATTGTGTCATCTATCATCAAAAGTTATTTATGTCTTTTAATTAAATATCGGATGACTTTAGATTTTTTGATCTCAAGAATTGAAAATTTGTAAGCTTCCAGTTACATTTCAAAATATTAATAATAAATTTATACAGAATCAAATTTTATTAGGATTCGTAAACTTGCATACTCATAGGTTGTATATTATGCGTCACTTGGAGTGAATAGGTCATTTGACTAGAAGCTCCTTATATAGGTAGATCATTTGGGTATATCATACTTATACTTCTATTTATGTTACTTAGATCATTATTAATTCTTACTGAGTTAGAAATAACATTTGCTAGAGATATGGATATCATGTCATTTAAGAGCTGATTATCATTATTTGCATTTTTCACAAATTCTTCAAGGTATCCTGCATTTACAACATAATCTTTTAGAAAATCTTCAAGAGTATTAAATCTTTCCTCCACACGAGTCTTAAATTCATCATCGGTTCCAAAGTTATTCACGACTGGAGAATTACCATTTACAGCAGGTGAAAACAATGGAATAATTAGAAATCTATTACGGATGTGTTTGCGATTGTCATTTGGAAAACAACAGCTATGAATCAGTCCCCAAGGTCGTAATACGGTTGTTCCTTTTTAAAATTAAAAAAAAATAAGTAAAATTTTAGAGATCAATTAAATAAACTTTATTGAGGAAATACATACCTAATAGACAAGTATATACTCCTGCCGCAATCACCCATATGCCACTGAATAAAGCTAATGCTCCGAGGAGCTAACGTGAACTAAGTTTATAAATAAGTCTATACAGGAAATAGAGAATAAAATACACACACTGTTTTTGTTCTTTCAAATAGTACGAGATCAAATAAATATTAATTGTAAGGTGCTTATCAAAAAATCAAAAAGAACTATTGCCTTATTTAGTCACCTTTTTTCTCTTAACATTTCTACCGTATAAGTACGAGGCATTATCGAAATATATTCACTTTTAAGGTTATATTCTAAAAGTTTTATAGAAAATAAATAAATTAGATGTTTTTTATATTCTATCAATTAAATTAACTTTTAATATTGTTAATATAGAAAACGTGAAATAATACGATAATCCGAGGTGATATATGTTTGTTGGATATAACTTGCTGGAATTCCAAAAGTATTACCTTAGGTTTGGGTTATAATTTCTTTAATAGTTCGTGAAAATTTCAAGGCTCCGCCCTAAAATAAAAAATATTTCAATTAAAATAATATCACAAAAAACAATTTATGTTAATAAATGAATGATATTCGTTTTCCTACCGATTTGGACTAAATAATTTTTTAAAAAATAGCATTAGTTGTTTAATTAAAATATCTTTTGAAATCTAAATAAAAAATGTAAGCTTCACTTACAGGTACAGTATATGAGTTTAATGCCTCCAACGAAGTTGCAATTGTGGGCCATAAATTTTCAGAAAGCTTAAAAGATCACTTGCTGAAGCACTGACTTTATTGCTGTATAGCCCGAATTCTTAAAAAATAATTAGAAATAATTAGAGTTAAATTCAAAGGAGTATAGAAAATTTTTAGCATTTTACAATTTTACCTGGGTCGAAGGCAGCAATGAATATACCCATAATTAGTGGAGTCAAACTTGTTATCATTTATAGTGAAACTTAACAATATCTTATTAAGGCCTTCAAATGTGAATCCTCCTAAAATTTTGTTCAAACTTACAATTGTCATCCACTCTTCATTAATAGTCTGTACAGATTGACTGACATATTCTGTACAATTTTCATCCGTAGCTAAATAAAAAATAAATTTTATTATGATTTTCTCTTATTAGCAAATTAATTTTTCTAACTTACTTAATATAGTTGACGTGACAACTGAGCTTAAATTGAAACGGAGATATAATTGAAACATCTATAATGACAACAGTTAATAGACATTAATTATGCTGTTGTAAATACTTTAATTAATCTGTAAAATATGAACCTGGTATCGGAAGAGAATCTACTTCAAATGTAGTCTTTTGCAATACCGGGCCATCATCAAGTATATCGATAATCAAAAAAGCCGTGAATGTTGTGAGTAGAGCTAAAATTAAAAGAGCGGAAATTCCCCGACATACGACGATTGATTTTGGCTCAATATGACGGTATCGATGAAAAATCTCTTTCAAATATATGTATATCTTTGTTTGTAACATTTTCAGAATTTTAGAGGCTTCTCGTTGCAAAAAAATACTTGACAGTTGATATTTGAATAGATATTCTTCTATTTCCTGCCTTATAATTACAAGATGTAATGTAACAATATATTTAAACTTTTTATTCATATACATGTACATGCACTTGGTACATGAATTGACGTTTTTTCATATTGTGTTGTGTTAATACTTGTTACACGTAGCAGTTGTGAACAAAAGTAACCGAAATTTCTAGCTTGATGCATGTATAGAGGTCATATAATTCATAATTAACAACATAAAAAGAATATTAGCAATGATTTGTTTTTGACTCGTATAATATCGTATTCATTTTTGCCATCCTAATGGTCGGAGACTTGGAACTTGTACCATATCAAAGATCGTACTTGTCTCATTGTGGAAACAACAAGTGATACACCACGCCACACTGAGTAAAATGTCTGACGTCAAAGATGATCTGGCACAATTGATTTATAACTAGCTATGTTCCATTACTTGGTAAAATTAAATGTATACATTATAATAAACAAAGTAACGTTAGAATCTATATCATTTTAAAAAACTAAATTTATTATTATAAAGAACAACAAAGAATTTTAATAGGAAAATAATGAGAAAATATACAATTTATAGAACAGGTTTTTGAGTATTGAGAGAGCAATCCAAAATACCGATAAATGTGCAATTTGCATGTGTGACGGATCATAATTATAAGACAAGAAAATTGCCGCGTATTATCATTTAGCTGGAACGAAAATACAGGTGCGCAGCCTGTATTCTAATTATTTCTATGCCTGATAAGTAGGTATCGCTGTAGGATTGTGTTGAATGAACATCATACCTTTTGCTCAATCATCGATTCAATAGCATCCTCACTCCAAAACTTTCTTTTTGTTATTTGAAATTTTTAGAAAAAACAAGTTTAGATAAGTAATCCATCATGCAATTCAAAGGTCATTGATGTAAAAGTTCACAGAGCACTTCGATAGAGAAAACTCACTGATTAATTGCATGGCTTTGCTTTTTAACACAAAGAATTTTTCGCACATATAATGAACGGAACCTTCCTTTAATATCCCAATTAGTTTGACCACAATCTTTTATACATTCAAGGACATTCCGAATCGATATGATCTCGATAATGGCCTGATTTACAATTTTCCTCTCAATAATTTGTTATTTTACTGTTGCTGCTGCTTTCTAACATGCTTAATGCTTATCTTCTAACCTAAATATCCTACCTATTTGTGCAATTAACCACTCTTGGAATATTGACATATTCAAAATCTTCCAAATTATTTATTATCCAAAGGTTAGATTCTCAATCAAGTTGATAGACTCTAGAACAGATGATTTCGTATCAATCAATATTTACATCTGTGTTCAAAGAGAGAAACGAAAATTATTCAAAAATCCGTGTTATCAAATCCAATCTTTATATGTTAGATTATTTTTTATGTCATGCTAACTTAAAATAATATTGATTTTTTGATAAATATTATTCATGAATTAACAATAAAAAGTTATTTTATTTTATTGGCTTCTGCATACTATTTCACATAATGAAAATAATAAGTTATTCAGAAAACAGTAATTGTTATTATATTATTATTAGTATTATTATTATTATTTTTATCATCATCATTATCATCATTATCATCATCATCATTATCATCATCATTATCATCATCATCATCATCATTATTATTATCATTATCATCATTATCATTATCATCATCATCATCATCATCATCATCATCATCATCATCATCATCATCATCATCATCATCATCATAATTATTATCATCATTATCATTATTATTATTATTATTTTTATTATTTAAAAGCTTTAAAAGTAAATAATAATTATATTATTACTTTTTTAATAAAAGTAAAATAATAATAAGATTTAATTAATAAATATATAAAAATATATTTTGAATAAAACTTATCTAATTAATATTATTATATAAAAAATATTGTTAAAGAAATATAAATGCAAATAAAATTCTTATTTAAAAAATAGTTTTACAAAATAATATTTATTTAAATTTTTAAATAATTACTTTTACTATATAATTATATTATATTATTTAGTAATTTTAATTTTTTTATTAATAATTATAAATTATTTTTAATTTGAATTTCATTTTTTTATATTTTTAATTATTATAAGTAAATATTATTTAATACTTAAAATAAAAATAAAAATATAAATAATTTCTTTTTATAAAAGTAAAAATAAAATTTAATTTTAATTTTAATATCTATATTTATAGTGGCAATCAAAAATAATATAATACTTAAATTTTTTACTAATTATAATTAGTAAAATACATATTTTTTCTTATATATAAAAGTTTTTAATTTTACTAACAA